GAAACAGACTCCACAGCACATAACCACCACTACCACCACAGCTGAGGTTTGGGTCACTTACAGATCTGGAGTACTCTGGTTAGTGCTGTAATAAACATCCTGGGACATGACTCCTTGTGCATGTAAGTATATGGCTAGGCTTAGGTTAGTTATAATAGTGTGTTTCTAAGATTGAAATTGATTGTCAGAGACTGTGCTTATCTTCAAGTACACTTGATAAAACTCTACTCCATTGGCATTCTATCTACCAGTGCATGAGCATTGTGCAGCTCCATATCCTTGCACTTGATACAATGCAAAAACAATTTGAAATGTAAGGAAAGCTTAATGAAAATACAATTGTGGGAATATTTCCAACTTATCTTTATCAGAAATAGATCTAATAGACAAAAATTAGTGACCTGTAAAAGAATTGAATAATACAATTAACAAATTCTGTTTACTGTATTCTTATAGTCTTTGACCAGAGAACATATATATCCTTTTTATGAAAAATTTGTCATACAGGTGGCCGCAAAGAAACCTTAAAATCAGAAAAGTAGAGATGGATAGGCCATAGTCTATGATCTAAAGATAAATGAAGCAGAAAATATAATAAAAGGGTGCTGGTAGTGGTTATGTGCCGTGGAGTCAGTCTGGCTCATAGTGGCCCTGCCTAGAGTTCTGATGCTATAAATCTTTACAGGAGCAGAAAGTCACATTTTTCTCCCATGAAACAACTGATAGTTTTGAACTGCTGACCTTGAGGTTAGCAGCCCAACTCGTAACTATTATGCTACCAGAGTACCTTAATAAAATTAATAATAAAAAATAAAATTAATAAAAATAAATAAGATTTCTTGGAAATTAGGAAACAAAGTATCTTTACGATTGCCCTTGGTGTGTTAAGTGTTGGACCACTAACTGAATGATTAGCAGTTTGACCCCCCCAGCCACTCTGAAGGGGAAAGATAAGGCAATCTGCTTCCATGAAGATTTGCAGCCTGAGAAACACTAGGGAAATATATCATGTTTGGTAAGGTGGAGGATCAAAGAAGGAGAGGAAGACTCCCAACGAGATGGATTGGCCAAGTGGCAGCATCGATGGACTCAAGTGTGGCAATAGTAGTGAGGTTGGCTCAGGGTCAGACAGTGTTTCGTTCTGCTGTGCATAAGGTCGCTATGAGTCAGTACCAACTCTATGGCACCTAACAACAACAATCTTTACAGAAGAAGACAACACATATTTCTTCCATGGAGCCCCTGGTTGTTTCTAACTGCAGAACTTAGGTTAGTGTCCCAGCACATTAACTGTGCTACCAGAGCTCCATATTTGTTGTTGTTGTTGCTGTTAAGTGCCATCAAGTTGTTACTGACTCAAAACGACCCTATGCACAGCAGAACAAAACACTGCCCGATCCTAGGCCACTCTCACAATTATTGCCAGACTTGAGACCATTGATGCTGCCGCTTCTCACTGGGGGTTCTTCCTTTTTTCTCTGACCCTCCACCTTACCAAACATGATATTCTTCTCCAGCAACTTGCCCCTCCTGACCATATGTCCGAAGTATGAGAAATGAACTTTGGCCATCCTGGCCTCCAAGGAGCACTGTGCTACACTTCTTCCAACACAGATCTGTTGGTTCTTTTTAAGTACTGTCTCATCAGTTCTGACTCATAACAACCCTGTATACGGTTTCCTAGGAGCAGCTGGTGAGCTTGAACCACTAACCTTACAGTTCAAATTAACCTTGTGGTCCAGTGCTACACCAGGATTAGCAATGCTTCTAGGCCATTTCAGTTGCTAGAGCAGAAAAACAAAAATGTATTTTTAAACTTTTATGATGATATTAATTCAACAACAATAGTTCACTTTATTTTTTGTTTTTATCATTGTTTTTGTCTTACACTGAAATTCTTGATTCCTAACATTGCTAATCCAATGTGTCTATCTTACATTGTATTAAAAAAATTTCAAATAACAAAACCAATAACACTGCAAACAATAAAAGGGCCATTTTTATGTGTTGGACATATTGAATCTTATTGGGAATATTGTGGCACTGTAGGATAGGAAATGGACTGCTAACTCAAGGTTGGCAGTTCAAACCCCTTAGAAACCCTATATTGGGTCTGTTCAAACACTCCTTGGAAATTTTATATTGGGTCACTGTGAGTCAAATCCTACAGGATTGTAACTTAACAACAACAACAACTATACATAGGCCCATTTGAGAAATATTGTATAGAATGGGGATCAAATACAGAAAGGGAACAACTTTTGGAAATTGCAATGATGAAAGCATGTCACCTAAATCACTGTTTGATGTGATGGATAAAATTAATAAAAATGAAGTCCTTTGTATGTGAGTTTCCTCCCATAATGCTTGACACACATTGTGTGTTTATGTGTGTGTAAGAGAGGTGTGTCTTATGTGTTCTGTATTTACATATCAGTTGATTGAATTCATGCTGAATTTGTTAATGAAAAAGTGCTTTATCCTGCTTGAGACTTAATTAACATTTCATTGTGTTCATCAAGTCAAGATTTACTAAGTCCTGACGACAACTAATACCAACATCCATAAAAAATCTTCAACTGCATTATATAAAATGATCATTTTCCCTAAAGATATGTGTAAATCAAAAGTTTTTTGGTTGTTGTTTTTTCTTTTTTTTCTGAATTATAGCCTTTAAAATCTAGGTAAGTCTATAAGGCCTTTATAAAAATCATATATATATAATTTTTCATAATTTATTTTACTAGTATGGAGCACTCTCTTATGACTAACAAAAATAACCTAATAGTGTATAAAGAGGATGACCATTGATATTACTATTTGTTTTTGTTTAATTTTACTTCCTGAAATAAAATAACAATATACAAAGGTATAAGTATAAAAATTAAATGCAAACTGAAATATTATCAGATTCCCTCACAAATGGAAAATAAATGGCAGGTGCAACATTTTTTACTAAGTAATTCCTTCTGGTAGCACAGTGGCTATGAGTTGGGCTGCTAACCTTAAGGTCAGCAATTTGAAACTACAAGTGGTTCCATAGGAGAAAGACGAGGCTTTCTGCTCTTGTAAAGATTTATAGCCTTGGAAACTCTATACAGGGTCACTATGAGTTGGAAATGACTCCATGGCACATAATCAACCAACAAGAACCAACTTGATGGCACCTAACAACAGCAACAGAAAAACACAGAGGGATGAAAGGATGGTTAAAAAGCACTAAGGGGTTTGTGGGCTTGTGGAACAGGATTGAAGACCAGATATAGAAGGCGTCCTGGTGTGGCATTGAAGGATAAGAATTCAACCACAAGGTCGGTTTGAACAGCATGGTCGGTGGTTCAAAGTCTTCAGTCACTCCTCAGAAACCCTACACAGAGTCACTATGAGTGGGGACTGACTCAACAGTACTTATCAACAACCACAACCAGACCTTCCTGTGAGGGCAAGTGTTTTGGAAAGACAAGTTAAGAAAAGTGTGTCATTATCTTATAGACTCCCAGTGTCCATCATTGCCTACTAAAATTTCCTTATTGCAGTGGGTTGTACTTTCCAGATGTTAAGGGCATAATTATTTTCAGCAGTAAAGTCATGGTGGAGGTTTGGTTAACGTTAGGAGACGTGGGTGTAGTTTTGGTAGAGAGTGTCCTCGGCAGTTAACGGACTAAGGACAATATGAAAGCCCGGTGTCTCTTACCCAGCTTTCATGAACAGATTGAACAAACACAGCCTTAAGCTTAATGAAGAAGAAGTTGTAGCTGTAATTAAATATAAAGTCTTAAAATTCAAGTGAAATTCAAATTAGCCAACTCTTAACTCATTCACACTAACTTTAACTAGGTTGTCATTCAAGTATAGCACGTGATATCGTTAGTCCCATGCTTGATAAAGGGAAAATAATGGACATGTGAACTGGGATAGTATTGGGAGAGTCAAAGATGAAAATAAAAAGAAGATTGAAATTATAAAGACAAACCAAGACTTCACAGTTTTGCCTGTGTTTGACCTATTAATCCTCATTTGGGTGAAGGAAAAATAATCTGTTCAGAAGTCATTCTGAATTATCTACTGGTATCTCTTTTCTACTTGGCATCATATATGCAGCATTTTTTTTCTTAAAGCACATGCCAACTCTTTTCAAAGAGAGCTTTGTTCTCAGATGATCCATTAATTGAGGTATCACTGAAGAATTTGGGATAAAATTCAACTTTTCTTGTAGAATTCTTTAGTGTGGTTTGTTTTTCAGTCCTCTTACTCCTCCTTGTATATCTCCAAACATGCTCTTGTTCCTCTTCCTGCCAGAGTGACTTCAGAACATTCTGTAACAAGTTCCCAGAGGCCTATTATGCTGTAACACAGAATTCTAGCAGTGAGCTATAGGTTCTGCCCTTGCCTGCTTTCCTGGGTGAAAGGCTACCTTCATACCTTTAACCCTCGCTAATGGTAGAGCCCAGGCTCATAACAAAGCACTAGAAAGCCAAGCAAGAACTTACCATGCCAATCAAACCTGTTGGGTGGATATGTGGACAGGTGTTGAAGAACTTTTCTGGAAAAAGTACACATTATTTTATTTTAAAGGGAATATGGGTGTGGGGAACAACTAAGAAAAAAATCCCACTCGGGTTTCCAGGAAGAGAAATCAAGTGTTCCATGTAAATTGTGTATAGGAAATGTTTTCAGCTAAACTTTTTGTCCCCCAATTTCTTTTTTTATCTTAGTTGAGGGTCTCCAGAAAGCAATCATGGACCTCGTAGATGAGTTTAAAGATGAATTCCCAACCATCCTACGAATATCACAGTCAAATCAGGTAATGTGATTTCATAATTTTGAAAATGAATACAAAAAAGTATATTGTTTTTAGTATCATACTAATTATGCTTGATTTTCAGATCAGTGCTTGAAGTATAAGAAAACATTAATTTCACCTCAGGGCGAAATCTTACCCACTGAGAAGCGTTTTGGAAAGCAGATAGATTGGGCCCAAAGAAATGAAAGGGATGAATAAATTAAGCTTTAAAAAAATCACTGTGCCATTAAATTGGAAATATGGAATTTTCTCATAATCACAATTACATGTATTTTACTTAAGATTTTGTTGTTGTGAAGTGCTGTCGAGTCGGTTCCAAATTATATCTACCCTATAAAGGGTATCCAAGGAGTGACTAGTGAGTTTGAGCCGCTGACCTTACGTTTCAAACCTACTTTGCAGTCCAACACGTTAAGCCACAGTGCCACTTAAGACTTAACATACAACCAGAAAAATACTACATATGCCTTAGGCAAAATTTATAGTAATCAAATCTGTGTGGAAAGTATAATTGAGAGAAACTGTAGCAATATGGATATTTAATAATATGGGTATGTGTTTTAACGTGGGAAGAAAGTATTGATATTAAAGCAAATTATATCTGCATATTTTTAACCTCTATTACAAAAAAAAGAGTCTTGGTTTGGTCCTGCAGAATAATGTATTGGACCTCAAGGACGGCGGTTCAAACCCACCAGCCACTCCTTGAAAACACTATACAGGATCCCTATGAGTCAGAACTGACTTGATGGCACTTAACAACAACAACAATTCCAAATAGGATTTGAGACAGATAAAAATATCACAAGTACAAGTAGAGACTCTTAAAGAGAGACGCATGATCAAGGAAAAGCTAACATCCTTGTTTCGGGAATGCTTGTAACCTGACTTATTCAAAGGTTGTTTTTTTTAAGTTCTATCAAGTTGGTTTTGACTCATAGTGATTCTGTATAGGGTTTCTGGAGAAGGCTGGTGGGTTTGAATTGCTGACCTTGTGGTTACCAGTCCAGTACTGATCCTACAGTGCCATAACAGGACTCCAGAGGTACACAGCTAATAATGTAAAACCGTGTTTTTTCACCACTTTGGCCACAGTTGGCATAGTAAAGTGACATGATTCATTAAACAATTCATTTATCCAGAAATCAGACTCTTAGCAATGTCAAATGAGGCTGAAACATGGATAAATAAAAAGCATTCTGAGTAACACAGTAATCACAAAGTCTATGTATTTCATTGTTTTGTTGCTACTTTCTCTTCTCGAGTTGGTCCCTGACTCTTGGAGACCCCATACAAAATGTGGTTGGACCATGGTGATCCATAAAGATTTTACTGATTGATTTTAAATAGCCAGGTTTTTCTTCCTTGTGTATCTTCATCGGAAGGTTACTCTGAAATCTCCTCAGCAGCATAGTAACATGTAAGTCTCCACTGATAAATTGGTGGTAGGTGCACTTAAGATGCATGAGCTGGGAATTGAACCCAGATTTTCTGTGTGAAAAGCAAGAATTCTACCACTGAATCACCACTGCATTCATTCAAAGAGAGGTATTAGAGCTGCCTTTAGTAATTCATCCAGGCAGCTGGCCATCAGACATTTACTAAACGCTCACTATTGCTTGGCACTGAGGAGAGGAAGTACAAAGATAAATAAAACATAATCCTTTCAGTCAATAAGCAGAGCAAACTACAAACAAGTAATTGTATTACAATATGGTTAGTGTTATACTGGTATGGTGCTGGTAGGATAAGTACTCAACCACAAGGTTAGGTTGAACCGCAAGGTCAGTGGTTCAAACTCACCCACCACTCCTTAGAAACCCTATACAGGGTAGGTATGAGTCAGAACTGACTCAATGGTACTTAACAACAACATATAGGTGTATGTAAGTTAGGGGAGTGAATAAATTTCTCTACTTGGGAAGGTCACAGAAAGGTTTACAGAGGAAGGATGCTAAAAATTGGGTCTCAAAGGATGACTAAGAATGTGCAAGGTGAAGAAAGCAGTGTGAGTTAGTCCAAAAAGTATGAAAAGAAGAAGCATAGCATGGTCACAGAATGTCAGGTAGATATGAATAAGTGGCATGTAAGGTAGGAAGGTTGAGGGGACAGAACATGGAAGTATTTCTATGCCATGTCTTATTTTGAGTGTAGACATAACATCTGATTTTCACATTAAAAGGCTAGCACCAGTGGTAATGAGGTCAGAAGGGAGGCAGGGGTTCTAGTAAATTCTGCTGGCCAATGTCCTTGAAGAGCACAATGCTGACTTCGAAAACAGAAAGAACGAGTTGGGTCAAAGAGGTGTTTATCATAGTTTGAAAACTGACAGTATGGAGTAAGAAGGCCATGCAGGAATTAAAGAAGACGCTTGGATTTCTTAGGTGACTGGAAGAATGGTAATCCCATTGTTGTAAAGTGCTGTCAAGTCAGTTCAGACTCATAGCGACCTGTATAGTGTTTCAGGGGAGAGGCTGGTGAGTTTGAACCACCAAATTTGCAGTTCAAACCAACCTTGAGGTCCAGTGCTTATCCTACAGTGCCACACCAAGAGTCCAGTAATCCCATTAGAGTAGAGGATTATATGAAGTTTGGAAATGATGACAAAGTTTAATTTGATTATAGTTTAAAAGGTTATACCACATTCTGGCAGAGCATGCAACTCAGTTACACAGGTTAGAAACTCAGGAGAAGTCTGAGAAACTCAGGACTTCATCAGTATATCATTATATCAGCATATAGATGGAAATATACAGTGTTTGGTTAATCCAAGTGTTTATAGAATAGTTTTTAAGTCAAGGTAGTAAATACCACACAAGAAAAGAGTGAATTAATAGGAGGGCATAGGATAAAAGGTCCCAAAGAATGCCATTGTTTAAAGGGATCATCAGAGCCTGAGAGGTAAAAATAGAATGAAAACATTGAAATTCCGTGAAAACCAAAGGAAGAGAGAGAAAAAGGAGGGAGGCATTAGTGACCATCAGAATCTTTGAAGAAATCAAATATGAGGAACAGTGTTTAAAGATACGATGTTGAATACACAGGTGTTTGGGTACACAGTGATAAGATGACATCCAGATGGTAGCCAGCAAAGAAGTCAACTAGGTCATGGCTTAAAATCTCGAAAGCATGAATCGGTTTTTATAATATATCTTATTAGACTGTAGTTAATCTCACTTTTTGTATCTTACTAGCCTTAGTACAAATCTTTTTAAATTTGGGGGACTTTTAAAAATTATGCTCTAGGTTACTAAGGGAAGAGATGAGAGAGAAGATGGCCATGCTTGGGCTAGGATGCAAAATGGCTAGGCTGGCACTGTCCTGGCAGAAATTACTGAGACAACCCCAAGAGAAATGCTAGAACACAAGATAGGCATGGATGGAAAGTCCTAATGCCTCCTCCAGGTGGGCTCTTTCATCACTGCCAACATTAAAGAGAAACTGGGGTTTTGTTGACAGAAATTGTAGCTTGCTTTACAACTACCTTCATCTCTTCCTAACCCCCTGAATAGATTTATTATCACTAAAGCCATAAACATGATTTATGGTAAAACTGACAGATACTCTAACTCCCAAAGGATTCTTTTGAGTTTTTATTTCCAACTTACTAATAAAAACTGCCCTGCTCAAAAGAACTCAATATAGATGATTAAAGTTCCTTTCTCATTCTCAAAACTCTTCCATTGTTCTTTTCTCACTATTTACTTTGAAGAATTTATTGCTGAGATTGGCAGGAAGACTGAATAGTTAGAGAATATTGTAGTAAATTTGAGTTTCTCTGGTCTTCAAAAACAAATTTTCTAGAAAACATTGCTAATACTGTTTTTAACTGCATTCTTTTTTTAAAGTCAGATTAAAATGCGGTAAATGTTTATTCTTTCCAGGATGGCCACTAACCACCACCAGCCACTGCCATCAAGTCTACTGTGGCTCATAGTAACCCTTTAGGGCAGAGTAGAGGTTTTCCAAAGCAGACTGCCTCAGCTTTCTGCTAGAATGGCCAATGGGTTCAAATTGCTAACCTTTCAGTTAGCAGTACAATGCTTAACTCGATGCTCCTTGGAGATTCTTAGTCTCCAAATAAACTGAGAGGAATGGCTTTAAGAATATTTATTGTTCTTCTTAACTGCCGTCAAGCTGGTTCCTACCCACAGCAGCCCTGTGTAGGGGTTCCAAAGAGCGACTGGTGGGTTTGAACTGCCAACCTCGCAGTTATCAGTCCAGTGCTTAGCCTACAACACCACATCAGGACTCCACTTGGTGGACTTTATTCATTGATTTGTGTATTAAATTGCTAAAATTTCCCTGTGCTATTCTGAGGCTCTGTTGTTCAGTGCCATCAAGTTGTTTCTGACTCAGAGTAACCCTTACTAGGGTTTCTGAGGAGCAGATGGTAGGTTTGAACCATCGACCTTGCGTTCCAACCAAAGTTGCAGTCCAGTGTGTAATCCTGCAGAACCACACCAGGACTCCATATATGCCGAATGTTGTTATTAAGTGTCATCGGGTCTATTCCGACCCATAGCGACCCTGTATAGGGCTTCTGAGGAGCAACTGGTGAGCTGGAACTGCTGACCTTGCAGTTCAAATGGCTTTGCAGTCTGGCACATTAACCTACAGCGCCACACCAGGACTCCTACACCCCGAACAGTGGTTATTAAATAGTCCTGCAAAGCTAATTGTTTTGAAGGAAATTTTCTTTCAGGGTCTGGGAGAGTTAATTTTAGAGTCCTAGCCTGAGGTCATGACTTCTGAAGTCATGTATTCCCCACTGGCTCCTGCCTAACCAGCCGAGACCTCGTTGCCCTCAGTGTCAACTTCCTTTAATAAAGAAAACAAAGACCAAAAACATAAGGCTTACACTTGAAAATTACAAATGACTTTCATATGCGGACTTGAAAACATTAAACCTTTACACTTGAACAAACAAAAATGTGTATTATAACTGGGGAACTAAAAAAAATTTTAATTCAAGATTAAGAGAAATCTCTTATGGTAAAAATAGGCTCGATTTTTATGAGTTTTAACTTTGGAAGGTGATTATGTTTTATTCTGTTATTCTCATACCATATCCTGTTACAGGCAGAACATAATACAATGATTAAGCATTCTCAGTGGTTTGAATTCACAAGCTACTCCATGAAAGACAAAAGCTGGTAATTTGCACCAGTAAAGATCACAGCCCTAGAAATCCATGGGGCAGTTTTACTTTGTCATATTGGGTTTCTAGGAGTCAGAATTTGACTTGACAGAACCTAATAATAGACAGAAAGGAGCTCTAGTAGCGTAGTGGTTACGAATCGGGCTGCCAATCTCACCGTCAGCAGTTCGAAACTACCAGCTGTTCCGCGGGAGAAAGATGAGGCTCTCTCCTCCCGTAAAGATTTACAGCCTCGGAAACCCTGTACAGGGTCGCTATGAGTCGGAACCGATTCCACCGCACATAACAACAACAACAATAATAGAACATACTAAGATCCATACAACAGTCTGAATTTTAATCATACAAAATCTGTAGATAGACGTTTCTGAATTCTTTATGAATTTCTTAAATGTAGAATACAAAATGCTGGGGACACCCAGTGACAGCTGGAAATTGCTAGTAATAATTTTGAAGTTTCTAAATACACTAAGAGTAGTACTGTAACTAGAATTTCTGTAATTCAATTATATCTTTGTCTTTGGTGGGTTTTTTCTGTGGCACACCAGCAATGATGTGAAAATGACAGAACACATTTCACTGAAAACGGTCTGGGTAGTTTTGAATTTAAGGTTTGATGTTTCTCAGTATTAATTTATTATATTTTCTGATATTTTAAATTAATTTATTTTGATAACCATTTCTAGAGTACTTACTATGTGCCAGACACTATTCTTGGCAATGAGTTAAATATAAAACACTATTATCATAGAACTAATTTACACCCCTTGTTATTGTTTTTAAGTGCTGTCAAGTCACCTTGACACATAGCAACCCTTTATAGGAACCTGAGGAGCGGCTGGTGAGTTTGAACTGCCAACCTTGTGGTTCAAACCAACCTTGTAGTCCAGTGCTTATCCTACAGCGCCACATCTTAGTCAAGTGGAAAAATAATAAACAAGGAAATTGAGTAAGTTATCTAGTATGTTATGTAGTGGTAAGCTTTATGGAGAAGGAAAGAACTATAGCAGAGAAGAGATGTGAAGTGAGAGTGGGGTAGGATAAGCACTGGACTGCTAACCACAAGGTCGACAGTTTAAACCCTCTAGCTGATCAATAACCTCATATGGATGCGAAAGCTGGACAGTGAATAAGGAAAACCGTAGAAGAATTGATGCCTTTGAGTTGTGGTGTTGGAGGAGAATACTAAAAGTGCCATGGGCTGCCAAAAGAACCAATAGATCTGTTTTGAAAGACGTGCAGCCAGAGTGCTCCTTATAGGCCAACATGGCTAACCTTCGTCTCTCATACTTTGGACATATTGTCAAGAGGGAACAGTCGCTGGAGAAGGATATCATGCTTGGTAAGATGGAGGGTCAGAGAAAAAGAGGAAGACCCCCAATGAGATGGATTGGCCAAGTGGCAGCATTGATGGACTCAAATGTGGCAACAGTGGTGAGGTCGGCCCAGGATCAGACATTGTTTCATTCTGCTGTGCATAGGGTCGCTATGAGTCGGTTCTGACTCGATGGCACCTAACAACAGCAATCCGATCCGTGGGAGGAAGATGAGGCTGTCTGTCCCAGTAAAGATTTGTTCCTGGGCTGTCAAGTTGGTTCCCACTCATAACAACCCTGAACAGGATTTCTGAAGACTGATTGATGGGTTTGAATGGCCAACCTTACAGTTAGCAATCCAGTGTTTATCCTACAATGCCACACCAGGAAATCCTGTACAGAGCCAGAATTGACTCCGCAGCACTGGCTACGGTAGGAAGAGAAGCCTGGTGGCATAAGGCTTCAGCTCTGGGTTGCTAACCAAAAGATAGGGGCTTCAACAAACCAGATGCTCCACAGGAGAAAAAAAATTTGTTGCTCTGCTCCCATAAAGATTGTTGTTGTTGTTAAGTGTTGTTGAGTCGATGCCAACCCATAGCGACCCTGTATAGGGTTTCCAAGGAGCAGCTGGTGATTACAACCTAGGTGAGGCAGCTCTACTGTGCCCTATAGGGTACTATGAGTCAGAATCTACTCTGGGGACGCACAAAAACAATAGCATCCTGGTAAAGAAAAGGAGAAAAGCTGGTAGCTTTGAAAAGAAAAAAAAAAAACAAAACAAAACTTTTGTTTTTCTAGTATTTTTGTTAACTGTTGTCAGATCAGTCGGTATGGACACATAGCACCCCTGTATAGGGTTTCTAAGGAGTGGCTGGTGGGTTTGAACTGTGGCTAACAGTTCACTGCTTATCCTATAGTGATACACCACGACTCCTGCTTTTCTAATTGCTGTCAGTGTTGTTAAGTGCCATCAAGTCGGTCTGACCCATAGCAATCCTGTGTAGGGTTTCTGAGGAGCCGCTGGTGAGCTTGACCCACAGACCTTGCTGTTCAAACCGACCTTGCAGTCCAGCGCATTAATCCACAGCACCACATAATGGTGGTGGTGGCTGTGTGCCGTGGGATCAGTTCCGACTCACAGTGACCCTGCACAGGGTTTCCGAGGCTGTAAATCTTTATGGGAGTAGAAAGCCTCATCTTTCTCCCATGGAACAGCTGGTAGTTTTGAACTGCTGGCCTTGTGATTCGCAGCCCAATTCGTAACCACTACGCTACCAGAGCACCACAAAATAAAGCTAGTTAAAAAGTAATTTCAGTATTCTCACCATATAATGGTCAATCATTCAAAATCAAAAAGGCAACATTTCCCTAAAGATGGAGTTGAGGAAGGGATGGGAAGGTGGGTGGAATGGAAAACAGGAACCACGGGGAGGAAGCAGGACCACTGTTGTTGCCTGGATGAGAATGTAATCATTGAGATGAAGCAAAGTGTATGATTTGTTGAGTGTAAAACTGATGATCTTATCTGTAAGCCTTCACTCAATTCACAATAAAACGTTAGAAAAAAATAACATTGTGAAGGTAAGAGTCAGTTACAATCATCTTAAGCTGGTGACTTCTTTTTAAAAAAAACAGTGAAGTCTCATTCTGCACCTGAAGGAATGTATGTAGCTCTCCTGTGTGCCCCCTTCATGTCCCCGGTGCCACAGAGAACCACTAAACAGGCACATCAGTGCCCAGATTTGGTTTCTAATATTATCTTTCCTAAAAGCCATGAGCATCTTTTTGGGAATGAGTCAATTTCGTGTTTTGTGTCAAGGAAAACAAAAGTGGTTGGCAAAGTCATTAAGTAATCCTTTCTGAGGTAAAAGTATTTAAAAACCATGAAGGTAGGCATGCATACTAGCCGAATAGCAACGGCTTGAGCATTGAAGGGAAACAGACGATAATCTTTAGAAATAGGTCAAGAAATAGGGAAAACTATGAATTCATTACACTAAAATGGAGAATATAACACAAAGTTTGCTAAACCATCAAGTCGGTTCCGACTCATGGTGACCGTGCATGGGGCTTCTGCTACACTTAAAAACTCTTGTTTATAATAATGTCAAATTTGGTGAACACAAATTATGTGATTCCTACAGTAGAGTGTTGATTAGCAGTGTTGATTTTTCTTTCTATAAAGAAAAAACTTATAAAGACAATTTAACGCAGGAATTGGTAAATCAGAGAAGAATTCTAATGTACTCTTTGGGTGAATTAGTAAAATTGGTTAATGGAAATAGATTCATAAAGTCAGTGAACACAGGCCAACATGTACAGATCTTCAATATTTTGTAAATATACCTTAAAACGGGAGACACTTCAGAACACTGATATTTTACAACTACAAAAATGAAGGGTCTCCAGAATAGAAGAAAAATGTAGAAAAGCATTAAAAAGTATTAAAAAGACCAGGCTGACTGGTCAGATAGAGGCTAGTGGACTTCCCAAGACTATGGTCCTTAGACACTCTTCAAACTTGGAACTGAACCCACACCAGCAGTTCAAGCTCACCAGCTGCTCCTCGGAAACCCTATACAGGGTCGCTATGGGTCAGAATCAACTCAACGGCACGTAACAACAACATATATATATAAATAGATAGATAGATAGATAGATAGATAGATAGATAGATAGATAGATAGATATAGATATAGATATATAGATACATACCTATATATCTATATCTAATATATACCTATATATCTATATCTATATGAAAGAAGGGTCTCCAAAACACAGAATGTTTGACCAAGTAGACAAGGTCTCAGTAATGGCAGAACTATGGGTGTGTATATATGTGTGTTATCAGGGCAATCAACTACAATAAGATAAAACATTATATATGAATAAATGGCAATCAGAACTAAAACCAACTTATTCCAGCTGCTCCGCCTTGAAGAGGAGTTGGGTGGGGTCAGTACAGCCAAGCATAAGATCACAAAAGAAATAAAATCTGTATGACAGAAGTTTTAGATACAGGGGACAATGATTTCTCTCCCTGGTGTGCCCACAACCAGGGTGGTGGCTGCCGTGGTCAGTTGCTGTCCAGTCTGAATAATATCACCTGGCTGTACTGGCATATTGTCTTACTTATTTTACTTATTTGTAAGGATTGCTCTCCTCTAAGGTGGCTTTTGGAATGGTATCATTGTAGCATTCCACAATACTATACTTGGCTAAGCACTTGGTTAAGCACTGGGCTGCTAATGGAAAGGTTGGTGATTTGGAACCACCAACCACTCCACAGAAGAAAGATATGATACTCTGCTTCCATAAAAGATTTATGGTCCTGGAAACCCTATGGCGGGGTGGTGTTGGGTTTCTACTCTATCCTATAGAGTAAATATGAGTCAGAATAGACTAAACAGTAGTGGGCTTATACCTTCCTATACACATATATGCAAACTTATCTATGTAACCACTCACATGCTTTTGGCTGTTACTGCTGTTGTTAAATTGTATATGTTATGTTGTTAGGTGACATCAAATTGGTTCTGACACATAGAGACCTTATGCAAAGCAAAACAAAACACTACCAGGTCCTACACCATCCTCACAATTGTTGTTATGTGTGAGCCCATTGTTGTTGGTCTTGCTTTTTTACACTGACCCTTTACCTTACCGAACATGATGTCTTTCTCCAGGGACTGGTCCCTTCTGATATGTCCAAAGTATGAGAATGCTTCCATGGAGCATTCTGACTGCTCTTCTTCCAAGGTAGAGTTATTTGTTTTTCTGGCAGTCCATGGTATTTACAATATTCTTCTCTAACACCATAATTCAAATGCATCCATTCTTCGACGGTTTTCATTATTCATTGTCTAACTTTCACATGCATATAAGATTATTGAAAATACCATGGCTGTGTCAGGCGCAACTTAGTCTTCAAACTGACGTCTTCACTCTTGAACATTTTAAAGAGATTCTTGTGCAGCAGATTTGTCTAACGAAATACGTCATCTGAATTTCTTAACTGCTGCTTCCATGACATTAACTGTGGATGTAAGCAAATCAAAGTCTTAGACAACTCCAATATTTTCTCCATTTATTTTGATGCTGTTTATTGGTCCAGTTCTGAAAATTTTTGTTTTCTTTACATTGAAGTACAATTCATACTGAAGGCTGTAGTCTTTGATCTACATCAGTAATTATTTTCTGTCCTCTTTGTTTTCAGCAAGCAAGGTTCTGCTATCTGTATATTGCAGGTTGATAATGACTCTTCCTCCAATCCTGATGTCACGTTCTTCTTCATATAATCCAACATACAGGTTGAATAAGTATAGTGAAAGGATACAATCATGATGAACACTTTCCCTGATATTAAACCACTCAGTATCCCCTGTTCTGTTTTAATGACTATCTCTCAGGCTATGGACAGATTCCTCATGAGCACAGTTGAGTGTTCTAGAATACCCATTCTTTGCAATGTTATCCACAGTTTGCTATGATCCACACAGTCAAATACCTTTGCATAGTCAATAAAGTGCAAGTAAACATCTTTCTGGTATTCTCTGCTTTCAGCCAATATCTAACTGATGACAGCAGTGATAGCCCCCTTTCCACATCCTCTTCTGAATCCAACTTGAATTTTTGTCAGCTCCCTGTTGATGCACTGCTGCGATAGTTTTTTGTTTGTTTTTTTAAATTATCATCAAAATTTTACTTGTGTATAATATTGATATTGTACCATTTTATATTCCCACCAGAGTGCATAAGTGTTTTAATCTCCCTTCAACCTCACCCGCATCTGTTATTTTCTGTTTTGTTTGTTTGTTTGTTTGCTTGTTTTATCAGAGTCATTTTTGCAAGCATGAAATGGTATCTCGCTGTGGTTTTGATTTTCATCTCTCTCATGGTTAATGATGTCGAGCATCTTTTTTTGTGTTTGTTAGCCACTTGAGTGTCCCAGGCTTGACTTTTTGGTAGCATTTCACAACTTAGATAGCATTTTCCACTGGTAGTATAGACTAGGAGGGTTGAGACCCAAAGAGGTGGGTTAATGGAAAGCTTTTTTTTCATAAAGTTAATAGATTAAGCCAAAACAGGGCTTCAAATGATGCAGAAATACATTCTCATTGAGAGACTGCAATAGCTTTTGATTGTCTCCAATGACAAATACTGAACAGTAAGAGAAGTACTGAGCTTTAATAATAAAACTAACAATTAAAAAATTATTTCATGATAAAAGTTGGGGCATTTAAAATAAGTTACATGTTTGCTCTTAGACTAATTTATGGTGTTCATTGTGAGCACACACACCCACACAAATCATCCTTTTAAGAAAAATGTTTTATTTATATACTTGTTGTTGTTCAGTGCCATCGAGTCAGTTCCAACCCATAGCAACCCTGTATAGGGTTTCCAAAGAGCAGCGGGTGAGCTTAAGACTCAAATAAATATTTAGGCTTCAAAGTTACTCATTTGTGTTATTAACCAGTACTTTTTCTCCAAATTATATACTAGAAAGTCAGAATAGCTCATAAGATTACTTAAATGAATAATGCAAACTACACTTGTGCATTGCCTGGAATGCAGTCTAACCACATTGTAAGTAATTTCCCTGTGGTTTACTTTATGGGAGAGCAGAGAAAGAATTGCATGTCATGTGTTTGGTAATACTTTGACATATTTCCATCAAAATGCTGAAAGAAGTTTTGAAGGTTTTAGAAATTAGTTTCTTAAGTTTATTGAGTATTTGTTTATTGTTCTTAAAACTGCACATGTGTAGTGTGAATATTATATGTATGCTATTGTCTCATAGGGGAGCGGGGTGCCTCTGTAGGATAAACACTGAACTGCGAATCACAAGGTCAGCAGTTCGAGCCCACCAGCAGCTCTGTGGGAGGAAGATGAGGTTTGCTGCTCCTGCAAAGATTTACAGCCTCAGAAACCTCAGGGCCACTGTGAGTCAGAACTGCCTCATCAGCACTTCACAACAACATTCTCTCATAATTTGAACTTTTAAAAGTAAATTGGGAAAATATTACTTTTGAAAAACTCTTTAAAAATAAATGTGCATGTAGAATGTGCCCTTTGATTGTGTAAATGATTATATATGCCTGAGTGTTTAAAAGGGAAAAAAAAGAGCTAAAATGAGTAGAGAGAACTACTGATGGTGCATGGAGGGGATTAGAATCATTGCAATTAAACAAGGTGTATGACTGCGAACCATAAGGTCAGCGGTTCGAAACTACCAGTCGCTCCGCGGGAGAAAGATGAGGCCTTCTACTCCCGTAAGGATTTACACCCTCGGAAACCCTGTACAGGGTCGCTATGGGTCGGAAGCGACTCAAAGGCACTTAACAACAACAACAACAACATGATTTGTTGAATGTAAAACTGATGATCTGCCCTGTAAACTTTCACTCAATCCACAATAAAAACTTAAAAAAAAAAAAATGCACATAGGTACAAGTCCAAATAGCAAAATGAAAAATTTACATCTTTTCACTAGTTATTCCACCTCTGGATATTTATCCTAAAGAAAAAATCTGCATTATTTCTACACAGATTTAAGTATATGGGGAAAACTGATGGTGTTGTGTTTGCGGGGAGGGATATAATTATTGAATGCTGATAGGAAATTATATGGTTCTATCTTTGTCTGAAGTAGATCTTAATAATGAATAACTACAGGTCAGTC